TGGCAGGACGTACGCAAGCCGACGAGCCCGTGGTCAGCGCTGCGATCATGTTGGGACACAGAGATGCAATTTGGGCCACAGGGGATCGGTTTCGTCGACGGCGGCGGGGGAGGAGGTGTGAAGGGCGTCTTGGGTCCGTGGTTGTGTTTTTGTGTGAAGGGCGAGGTGTGAACGGCGACGGCATCGCCAGATAAAAAACCCGGGACTGTCTGCTCCCGATACAAACTTCTTTATCACGCCCCTCCCCCTAAACAACCAGTTATAATACTCATATTGTAGTCACACACACACACACACACACACACACACACACACACACACACACACCGGCGGCGATTGCAACGGCGGAGCACGCCCTCGCGGAGTAATCGGCCTTAGCAGACGTCACACAGGCGCTCCTCGGCCCTAGCCGTCTCCTCCACCTCCCCCGCCGCTTCGACTAGCGCCTCCAGCCGCGGCAGCGCCTCTGCGAGCGGCATCCGCCTCTTCTTCCTCACGAGAGCCAGCCCGACCACCAGCCGCGCCAACTCCTCGGCCTGCGCCGCCGACCAGCCCGCGTCGGCCGCCGCGATCGATCCTTCCGCCGTGTCGGGCTCCTCAAGCGCATCATCGCACTCGTCGAGCAAGCCGACGGCGCCGCGGCCGGTCAGGGCGACGAGCAGCGTGATGCCGAGCGCATAGCCGTCGGTCAGCACTGACGCCTGCCCGCTCTGCGAGATGATTGGGTCCATGTACCCTAGCTTGCCGAACAGGCGCTGCGTCGACAAGTGCGAGACCTGCTGGTTGCCGCCGGCCGTCGCCTCTGCCGCGCGCGCGAGGCCCACGTCGGCGAGGTAGCCGTTGCCGCGCTCGTCGAGCAGGATGTTGCCCGCCGAGACGTCGCGGTGCAGGATCATCGGAGAGAGCGTGTGCAGGTAGTGCAGCGCGCTCGCGGCGTCAGGGCGACGTGGTCGAAATGGAGTTCCAGCGGACCTTGGAGCTGGCGCGTGCTGGTTGCCGCCGGCCGTCGCCTCTGCCGCGCGCGCGAGGCCCACGTCGGCGAGGTAGCCGTTGCCGCGCTCGTCGAGCAGGATGTTGCCCGCCGAGACGTCGCGGTGCAGGATCATCGGAGAGAGCGTGTGCAGGTAGTGCAGCGCGCTCGCGGCGTCAGGGCGACGTGGTCGAAATGGAGTTCCAGCGGACCTTGGAGCTGGCGCGGGAAAGACGGGAGAGGATGTTGTGGCCCTGCTGCGGAACGTTGACAGCAGCATCGCCGAACCCGTCGTGGGTCCTCTTGTTTCGAGTCTTCTTGCCCGCCGCCGCGGCCTGGCAGGCCACGTCGAGGGGGAGACCCAGGCGGCGCTGCACCGAAATACACGCATCGCCCAAGTCTCCATTCGCACATGTCACCCCGCATGGGGATGGCGTTGAGGAAGGCGCCAGCGCCATCCTGGCTCACCGCCACGAAGCGGACCGCCTCCCGCCAAGCCTCGTGCCGCGCTCGCTCCCTGCCCTTGGCCTGCGCCTTGGCCCCCCCCGTCTTCCTCCTCACGCGGCATGGGAGAGCCGACCTTTCGGAGCCCTCCCCCCTTAGCTCGAGGGCGAGGGCGAGCCAGTTCCTGTTGTGGACCACCGTCGTGAAGCGCCGCTGCGCCTGGTGTTTTTTAACTCGTTCTTGGACGTGAACTCGGGGAGGTCCAGCAGCTCCTTGGCCGGGACGAGAGTGTGCGGCCGGAAGCGTCTGGCCGGCGTGTGGCCGGCGTGACAACTCTCTGGACTCTGGTACTCGAGTAGCGCTCCTTCAAAGAATTCGCGCCAGCCACTCGCCCGCATCTAACGGAGCGTGTCAACACCTCCCGAGGGGCGGTGTTAACACGTTTGAACACCTCTCGGCTGTGGTGTGAACCGTTATAACGTTTGAACACCGTGTTAACGTTAATCCACCAGCCCTGAGCACGCCCCGGCACTGGCGGCAGCGCGGCGGGGCGCAGCTTCTCGCCCTCGTCGGGCTCGTCCCACGGCTCCACCTCGACTTCCGGGGGCCTGCCTGTCGTGCCGCCAACCAGATCAAAGTACTCCGGCTTTGTGTTGGCGTCCAAAGTGCGCCACTCCGCCGCGATCTTTCAGGCGCCTTGATCACGTCGAGGTCACGGAAGGGAACGTGCAGTTGGCGCATGAGCCCCCGGCGACGAGCGCCCACGTGCCAATCCACGCCGGCTCGCGGATGTCCACGGCGCTAGTGAGGCCCATGCCGCCCATCTTGACGGGCAGGCGCGCCTGCTTGCGCGCGCGCTCCCAGCACTTGCCGGCGGCGCCGACCCGCGCCCCGCCGACGAGATTGTATAGCGCCGTGTCAATCATCTCGTCGTGCTTCTTAGCGGCGGGGAGGGTGACCGACGGCGGCATGGCGCGAAGGAAGAAGGTGAGCGTCGTGTTGCTGCAGAAGCGCAGCAGGACCTGCATCACCTGCTGCGCCGTGTGGATCTCCTTGGTGTCGCGCAGCTTGAGGATGGCCTCGAGCGGCTTGAGCGCCCTCTCGACTCTGGCCACGAGCTCCGTCTTCCGCCATTAGTCGTCGCCAAGGTACGCCCCGAGTACCCGGATGCCTCGCAGGGTGCCGCCCGCGTACTTGCCGTCGGGAGGCGCCGCCGGCGTGCCCCTCACGTTCGGGTAGGCGCGCACCGCCTCGAGCGACGCGGGGTCGGGCGCTGGAACAAGAACCCAAAAGCGTCGGGAAATGTCCACACGAGACATGGGACTGGCGCGCACTGGCACTAACACAAAAAGAAAGCTCGGCGTGGTTGGTTGCCGGGTCGACGGCGAGCGACGACAGTGCCGCCGCCGAAGTCAACAGGGCGGACGCGATGTAAACCTCCGCACCCGCTACCATGGTATTCCCCGTCGCTCGCCGCGGTGGTGGGGTATGCGAGTATGCGCTGAGCTCGCTCGCAGCCGGCGATCAATAGTTAGTGCCCCCACCACACCGGCCTCGAACGAACACCGGGGCCGACGACCCCGGGCAAGCCACTCCGGAGATGATCCACTCTCTTCTTCTTCCTTCTGATGAAATTCGATTCTCTCTCTCTCTCTTCTTGTACAGAACCCCTGTCTTTTGAATCCGGCGCCTCCCGTTCGACTCTTGCTGTTGCCCTCGCCGCGTGTTTGTCAAGCTTCCGCATGAAGTAACGCGCCTCTTCCTTATTACAAGATAGGAACTTGGAGCACTTGGAGTGCAGTCATCAACCTCACATCCAGGGCCGGGGAGCTGAGAAGCGCACCCAGCGAGCCGGATGATCGGCATCGGGCTACGGGCTAGAGAGCCCTGACCCCTAGCTAGGGGGGGGTGCGCATTCGCAGGGCAAGGGCCTTAAAGTAAACACGGGTCTCCGAGGGTTAGCTCCGCGCTCCAGGTTTCCCCTAGCAGCAGAACGCCCCCTCTACTCGGAGCTAGTAAACACTCGACACGGACTCGACGCCCATCCACACCCGGCAAGCGAGCCGAGTGCGCGTTCCGAGCACGCGGCCCGGCACTTTCCCACAGGCCCGCCAGCCGCCGCGCAGCTTTGGAGAGGTAGCTGGCGTTGCGCTGCACTGCTTGAAGCTGCTGTTGAGGCGCTGCACTGCTCAAAGCTGCCCCGTGCGCCGCCGCGAGCGCCGCGCCGTGGCCTCGTTCTCTGGAGAGCCCCAGCACCACCCCTCGCGGCCACTCGCGCCGTTGCAGCAGCTCCGACCCCGCCACTCCGGCTCCCGAGCGCGCGGCGAGCAAGAGGAAGAGCACGCGCATGGGCCAAATCCGTTACTCTTGACCTGGAAAAGCGCAAATTCTTTTGCCCTCTCTCCTGCCGCGGCGCGAGCGATGCTAGCCACACAGGAGGAGAGAAAGCGGCAGATCGTCCTCAAGGACAGAAACGACCCAAGAACGTGGCGTCTATCCACCCATGATGATAGGCAGGCGCTTCGAGCCGAGCTGGAGCAGGCCGGCTGGAAGGTCGGTAACATCCATGCTCTGGACGGTGGCCAGACCTCGTACCTCTCGCTGCAGCCCAAGCCCAATCGCCGTGATATGATTGTGGCTCTTGACGAAGCCGTGAAACATCTCAAGTGTTCGCTCCCGGGGTGGGTGGTTTACCGGCGGGACTGCAGCGAGGCCGCCGGCAGCCAGCAGCTGCAAGACGGCGGAGGCGGACGCAGCAGCGGCGGCGACAGGGGCCGCGGCGGCGGTGCTCACCTGTACGAAGGCGACAGGGGGTGGACCAATCTGCTCGCCGGCAATCTCTTCAAGACGAGGGTCTGCCGCAACTGGGAGCGCGATGGGACATGCGCCCACGGTGCGAATTGTCGGTTTGCGCACGGAGAGCGGGAGCTGCGGGCTCTCGCGCGGGAGCCGCCGCCGCGCGGCAGCTTCTCCGGCGGCGGAGGCGGCGGCGGTGACAGCCGGCACGGCGGCGGCGGCGACGGCCGCCGTGCTCGCTCCTCGCCGCCGCGGCAGGCGCCCCCGCCTCCCCCCCTCCCGTTGCCTCTCACCCCCCCGGTTGCCTCTCACTCCCCCGTTGCCTCTCACCCTCTCGCCTCTCCT